GGGGCATGGATTGAATTCTTTCAAATCTAAGACATTCTTTCTTCTTAAAGTGGCTTTTAAGGAACACTGGGGCTCTTGTCTAATTCCGAACCATAATTATTTTCTTTACCTAAAGACAGTTTGAAACCAGTCACTTTAACAGGAATCAATTAAAAAAGGAGAGAGAGAGAGAGAGATTTCTGCTCCTATTCAATTGATTTTGCTAGTTTTCTATTAAACTTCCAGCTGAGAGGCAGTGAAACATAACGTAACTAGCTTTTGTCTGCTGCTTTGCTAAAGATATAAAGTTCTTGACGGAACCATTGGAAACGTTAACCAGCTCATCTGGGTCTATCATTGATTGCTCTCCTTCCTCTTTCTGCAACCGTCTCTCTGTTTCCTTTTTTTGCACACATTCATGGTGGCTGAGTTCCAATAGGAATATGTACTTACAAATCCACACCAGGAAGCTTAAACCCTGTTTTCATTCACCTACACGCACACCCCAACCAGCCCTACACATGCCCGAGATGTCTCCATCGTGGGGGATCCTGATGCCGGGCTGTTCTGGACTTCTGAGATACCCAACACCAACCTATACTTGGAAGGCTTTAGGAAGTGGGGCCTCCTAACACCAAAATGGGATAAAGAACCCTACTCAGAAGGTGTAATGATGTGTTAGGAAGGAGGGACATTGACATGCAGGTCCAGTCCTAGACAGAACTGTGCAAGGGGGTGTCTAGTTCCTGTCCCTTTCCCTGTCCCTTTTCTACTCTATCCTCTGCCCCACACCTTGGCCCTTCCTGACAGTGGAAAGTGAGCAAATTCATTCACAGTGAGGAACTGGTGAAATCCAGTTTACAGAGACAGGTAAGAGCTATAAATGAGGACACTATTTAGCCTCAAGAAATGAAATTACTGCACATGAATTCCAAAAACCAGGGATCAGAGAGCTGTTTCTGGACATGGGGTCTCTGCTATGCCTTTCAAATCCCAGCTCACAGAGCTTCTCTTTATTTTGTGAGTCCTGCCAGCAGACTTGAGGCCAGAAAAATCAGGTATATAGAGGAAGTTAGGGAACCCTACTTGCTGCTTTAAAAGCTCTTTATTTGGCTGATAAGCTTTTCATTGCCTCCCTGCTATTGCTCAGGCAAATAGGATTGAAAGGTCAGAGAAACTATTGGGTTTGTCATTTTAATCATTTCTGTCTCCCCAGGTGTCCAAGTGATCCCCAAAACAGCATGTCTCCAGCCCCAGACCTGCCAGTTGGGAATCGGGACTCCTTTCCCAAGGCACTGAGGCAGGCTTTGCCTCCCAGTCCCGGCTCCTGTCCCCAGGGCAGAGAACCTTCCCGTCCAACCCCTACTCCCCCGCCCCCCCCCCCATGGCATGTTTCATGACAACCTTGTTGCTACATCAGAGTGTATTTTTGTAATTCCTCCAGCTAACACATAAACGACCCCATCCTTCCTTCTCACTCCCCTTTCTTCTTCCAGGGGTGGGTCAAAGGAATAGGAAATCAAGCCTGGGGTTTTGACTTGTCACTGCCATAACTTGTTTGTAAAAGAGTTGTTCTTTTGGACGGATTGTTTTAAACAGATATTTCTCCATTAAACTTCTACTGAGCAAATGGTTAATAAACTGGCTGGCTGTTTTTAAGTGAGGTAACTGAGAAGCCCAGACTCGACACGCCATCAGAGCTGCCTCTCTTGGGAAGGAGAGGCAAAAAGCACATGGCCCTGCTCGATATAAAGCACGACGGGGCAAGAACACAGAAGCCTAAACGCCCTGACTGCACTGCGTCTCGGGATCCAAGTGCGGGATCGGCACCACTGTTGGGGCAGCACCCCATTTCTGACTCAGGAGGGATTTGCATTTTTAACAAGTACCAGGTGATGCAGATCTTGCCGGTTCGGGGCCACTGGGTGGAGACACAAGGAAAGGGGCAGAGCTTAGAAGAGCTTGCTGGTATCATTTTTATCTCCAACATGTTAAGGTATTGTCAGGCGAAGAAACACACCCAGACAGGGTAAGCAAGGAGAGTCAAACGTCTACAGTGTAGACCAAGTGATAGGAAACCAGTAAGGGAGGGTAAGGAGCTCTTCCGGGAAGCTGGGGAGTCCTGGTGAGGGGGGTTACTACTGGAACCGAGGGAGAACTGTAGCTCCATCCCCCCAACCCTGGGCCCCATAGCCATTCAGACACTGTGTGCTGCAGGAATGGCCTGGAGATGCAATACCCCAACTTCTCTCTCCCCCGGCCCTTCAAACTCCAGTCTGGTCTCACCTGTTGGTCAAACCCAACTGGAAGCTGGCAAGTTAAGAGTGTGTGCATGCAGCCATCAGGATGAGCCTGGGAGGTGCCAATGCAGCATGTGCAGCTGGAAGTCACAACCGATGTAGAGGGGCTTGGGCAAACTGCAGCTCAGTAATGGATTCTACTGCGACTTTTCTGGGGGGTGGGGGGGCAAGGAAAAGGGGGCAGAAAGAAGCCCTCTGCTCTACCACAAGGTAAGGGAAAAAAGGCAAGAGCACCCCCATACCAGGTTTACCAGTTGCTGGGGCTTGAGTGACATAATCCAGCCCTGGGGTCTGGGGGCACATCACTCTCACCGTCAGGCCCCATTAGGGGTCCCTAGGTCCCACTCCCGGAAACGCTTGGGTCCTAGAAGCTACATACAGCCGTCCCCGTACAGCAAGGATGGGACCAGCTTTATTTAGCCCTTTGGGCCATCACAGGACATGGGATCGATGAACTCAGGGAGTGCCCCGTGTTGCTCCCTGTGGTTAGAACCCATCCCATAAGCAGAATACGACTTTTTCCAAAGTCATCAACAAGCTCAGGAACACAGCCAAGAACATACTCTCCACTGTCCTGTAGTACAAGCAGTACAGATAAAGGACTACTGCCTGAGTTAATAAATCTTAGTGCCTTTATTTCCCAGTCTATGACTTTGGGTAAGTTCTTTGGCCTCTGTGCCTTCCTCTTCTCATCTGTAAAATGGGAATAATGGAAGCACCTCTTTCATTGGACTATTCAGGTAAGCACTTGGGTTATTCAAGCAAGCACTTGGCCTTGTCCCCTCCCCGGTAATGGTCCCTGTTATTGTAAGCTAATGAACGTGTACGCTTGGTCCAAATGCCATCACTTGTTTACCACCAACAGAATTCTTATCCTTTATAGGGGAAGAGGGTAGAGGGACAGGCACACATTAAATCAGACAATGTACCATTTTATTCCTTATAAAATATATTTCATATTGTTGCTGTAAAAACATTACATTTCACATTTTTAAAAAAATTTTTTTTAACAGTAAAAATAATACTTGGAAGACAGCTGGGGGAAAAGGCGCCAATAAGACAAATTCACAGATGGGATTTATCTCCCTCTTCTCTCTTTTTTTTTTTTTTTTTTTTTTTTTTGGCCCCTGGTAAGGTCAGAACCTGGGAGGACCAGAAGGTAACAGGACAGATTTCTTCAAACAAATGAAAGTTTTCCAAATCCAACTTAATAATGTCCTCCAAGATGTCACGCTACAGGCCTACTACCACAATGTGGATATCGCACAAGAACGCACTCTGAAATTACAAAACTGCTTTCACAACCAGCTTAAAAGCCACGTAATTAAATCCAAGCTATTTTCCTCACCAGTCAGGCCATGAGCTTTGCCCCTGTGATCTCACTGGACCACAGACATCGCTCAAGGGACTCAGCACTGAATGAGCACAGTGCAGCTTCCGTGTCATTAAGGCTGTCCAAAGCAGGCACCACAGACTCCAAAGGTAATTCCAAGAAATACTCACAAAAGGGGTAACATCCCTGGAATAAATGGTTTCCCCAAATCACTTCTTTGGAAATCAGTCCTGTTAGTTCCAAATGCACATCTATGGAACTTCCCTCCTGTCAGAGTCTGCTGCCCAGGTGGGCTGGGAAGTAGGGAGAAACACGGAGATGAAGAAAACAGGCATAGTCGCTGATCGGTTCACAAGCCACCCCCAACCTCTGGGAAGAAACAACTGGGGCAACCCCAAGGACAGACCACATGTCAAGGACCAACACCACAGCCACAAGATGGAGGAGTGGGAGGACAGAGGCCAGAGGAGGCCACCACCACCAAAAAGGAGAGAGGAGCTGACAGGGACAGGGAAAGCTATACCAAAATAAAACATTAAAAAACAAAAATCAAACAAACAAAAACCCCTCAGTTTTTAAACTGTTTCATCCATTTTTTTTCTCTCTTCCTTTGCTGCCTCGGGTACCAACGACAGGAGAAGCCTACCTTACTTAGAGGAAATCTTTACATCCAGTTATAGCTCCACGGTCCAAACTGAGGGGGAAAATGAAAACAGCTTTCCTAAAGACGAGATTCAGCAAGAGCTGTGATGAAGGAGGGAGGGGAAGACTGCTTGGCAGAGTCCTCCAGTCCCAAACACTCCCTCCCCTCACTGATAAGATCTGAAGATGGACACCGAGGGGAGGGAATGGAAGTGAAGGGTCAGGACAAGCAACGACCTGCTGTCAGCTTTTAATTCTCAGGGAGGTGGAAGGGACAGGAAGGAGAACCCTGGGCCGCCTCTTGTTGGCCTGGTCTCGGGCTTTAGGGACAGATTCCACATTTTTTTTTTTTTTTTACTAAATTATAAAAACATACCCCATCACCACCAAAGACACCCCTCCATCACCAAAGCTGGGCCACTATCACTCATCACACCATCCTATCTCTAAGGTTGGCGTGTTTGCTAACACTCAGGGTGTCACAGATTGTCAAGTGCCCGCACAATTCCCACGCAAAGTGGCCAAAGGAGCCTCGAAAGCCAGGGAGTTGCACCTGGGAGAAGAGGACAGCCTCAGTGACACCCAGGGGATGTACACTGCTGCCCAGCCACAGGACAGGGGCCTCGGTGGGATTCCTGAGCCCCTGACCTCTGGGATGCAGGAGCAGCGCTGGTGCCCCAGGGCAGGTGGCACCAGGTGGCCCGATCTTACAGGCCTGAGGAACTCCCAAATAAGTCTTCAAAATGGAGCTCCCAAACAAAACGTGCCCTCCCCTGAGGGCTAAGCATGTCTGATCTCTATTAAGCACAGATGGGAGGGCACTGAACTCCCCACCTACATCTCCCTTCACATCAACCAGAATAGCTTTGCTAATTTACTTCGCAAACCCCAATGCAGGCTCCTCTCAGTCCTTGAGGGCTCCAGAAACCACAAGTGCTAAAGCCCAGAAGCTGCTAATCTGACCCCTCCTCACCGGAGTTCCTCGGGGCTCCTTCCCTCTCCCCTCTGCAGGCAAGAAACAGTGCTCAGCAAATAACCTGAGAAGGTTACTCGGGATCAAACCGACCTTCCCATCATCACAGGGATTGGAAGGACACAGATAAAAATCCAGAAGCTGTGAACACTGATGGGAGAGATGTCCTTCCCACTTCTCACCTCACGAGGGAAACTGGATTCTCCTGGGAGAACGATCTGGAACCTGCCAACTCCCTCTCCATCTCTGGGGCAAGCTGCCACCTACCTTTCTACCTCTTCTTCTCTTCCCTCCCCCCACACGACCCCTAACCGCAGCCTTGGGAGGAAACAGGACAATCCCTGGGAAAACCAGACAGAGGAACCTGTGCAGGGCATGCCAAAGGGGGCCTCTTCCCCCAGCAGAAGGGAACTTTAATCAGATAAAAGGCTCTGAATGCACGGGGAAAAGAACACAAGGTGTTTCGGAGGTGTCATGTCCATAACTGGAGGCAGGAACATCAAGAGGGAGTTCATTTACTCAGAGAACAGCAGAGGGCATTCACAGATCCTGAAACCCTCCAGCTTTTCCTCAAGGAAAGAGGGGGAAATGGTCAAGGTAGTTAGTGTTTAACTGCCACATTTTAAAAAAGTGAATTCATATAGCCTTTTGGCTCAGCTATCTGGGGACAGTCTTTAAAAACCTACTAGTCTGGGCTTTGAGAAGAAGCCATACAGTATTTGTTGGGAAACAACCCAACAGCTGAGGGACCCCAGGTTCAAATCGTTGTCATCAAGAAAGGGTTTTCCTTTTACTTCCATGGAAGCCACTCGGTGAGAACAGGCTCTCCCTTCTCCCAGATTTGGGGGGGAGAAGAGGGGCCGGCTGCACCTTAAAAAGTGCACAGATTTCCCCTCCCCCCACCCCACTCTCCCCACCCTACCCATGACAGGTCCTGCTCTTGGACTCATCAGCCAGAATTTTTTTTTTTAAGAAAAGTAAATCCATCTTGCTCACAGTCCCTTCAGGAAGAGTTGAGAAAGCAAAGACTTCACCAACTCAGCAGGAAATGGAATGAGCTGTTCTGTCTTTTGAGACATGCAAACTAATCCCCTAGAGAGAGACGTGGAAAGAGAGGGTAATTAATTCTTTGGTCTCTGGTTCACTGCAGAATACCCTTGGTCAGTTTTGGCTCTCTCCTATTTTGGCGTGGGGGTTATTTTCCTTTCTTCTTTTAAAAAAAACTAAAATGTTCCCAAAAAGGGTGAGGGGGTGGGAAATGTTTTAACAACTGAACCTTAGCCAACAGAGCCCAAACTCCCAATGTCCACTCTTCATCTTTTAGGCTTCTGCCGAGGGCTTGTGACTCGGCTGTCTTTTGTCATCTGGCTGCCAGTTGGGGCAGGGCACGAAGAGGACAGGCCGGTGGGACAGGTTCAGTCCAGGAAGCGCTGGCAGGCCTTCTTCCAGCGGCAGGCCGTGCACCACTGGTCCCGGTGCTCGATGCCATACACTTTCCGGCACTTCTTAGCCTCTCCGCGGGCTTTCCTGTCAACAAAAGAGTCAGAAGGGTACAGACACGCCCTCCTGGTTAAGACCTGGGACACAGCTGGAGGAGCAAAAGCCTTTCCCCACCCAAGTGTGTCCCTGGGCCCCTGGGCCGCCTCCCCCACTGCAGGGAATGAAGCCCGAAACCCAGAGACTCAGGCGGTGAGTTTGCAGAAGGCAGGGTGGGGATGGATGCCAGGACGGTGGCCTCAGGAGCCAACGGTCTCACTCACCTGGCACTGCTCTGGGCCCGGGGTGGAGAAGTAACAATCAGGTGAGATTTCACTGCCGGTGGTGGCTGCTGGGGCTCGCTGAAGCTTAGCGACCGGCTCCGGACCTGGGCGCAGAGAGAGAGGCCATCAGCACAGGCCAGGACAGAAGGGCAGGACTGAAAGGGGAGAGAACCATGCCACTGGGCCATCAGCCACACCTGCCGAGCCCTTCTTGGATGCCTTCTCTGGTAAGATACTCCAGGTGGAGGTGGGCAGGGGCCCGGCAAAGAGGAGTGCAGGCAGAGTGAGACACTGAAGACTACGACCCACCAGGCTCAGAAGTGGTTGATTTTAGTTCAGCAACCTAAGGCCGCGGCCTACCACATGCAGGGCCCCGACGAGCTCCCATCTTCTGTCTTGCCTACCCTCATCCTCTCCAGCTTCCCCACATTCTCTACCTTCTTCTCCTCTGCCCACTAAAACCTTAACAAGCACCCACAGATACCCAGGGTTCAGCAGGGTGCTGACCCAGACTGCTTAATCTGGGTTCTCTGCACACACCCGCCTTGCACCTCCCAAGAGGGGCTGTGAGCCACTGGGGAGTGCAAAGCAAGGGGAGAGTGCATGAAGGCCTTCAAGAAGTTTGGGTGCTGGAGGCACGTGGTGGGGGGAATGGCCTCAGGCTTGCTCCGGAGTCCCCAGGGGGTGCCCATGGGCTCAGAGACAATCATACTCACTGGAGAGAGGGAGGAGGCCGTGGAGGGGGCGGCAGCCCAGCTAATACTGGTGTAGATGTGTGGCGACACAGGGATCTGGAAGGACGGCAGGGCCTGTTGGAGACAAGAGCGGGTCAGGCTTGGGCCACTCGGGCAAAGCTCAAGTCCACCTGCACTCCCTGTAACTTCCCGGGCCCCAGCAGAGCATGGGCCTCCAAGCGGACGATACCAGGATGCACCTGAACCCTCTGCCCAAGAAAGAGAGAGAGAAAGAGAGCAGCAAGCCCAAGTCCTCGAGCTATTCTCCTTAGTCCCAGGCTCCAAGTGTTTTCTTGGACTCCTCCTCTCAGAGCGGGTCTTTGTGCCAGCCTCAGACTGAATCATCAGCATGGACTAGCATCTCCGCCCGCTCACCTACCAAGAACATGGTACAGGCAGGTGCCCAGAAGAAGTCCGCACGCCTCCTGAGTCCATGCGGTAGTGCCACACGAAGCTTATGGTGTCCCTGGGCAGCCACTGGAAGAAGCGACATGCTGCCAGGTGCCCAGGCTTAGGTCTGCTCGTAAGAGCCCCAGCTGCCCTCTCAAGGTCCCAGCTCAACGGTCAGAAAGCTGTGCAAAGGGCCCCCTGACCCTGGCCACATGTGAACTAGCCCAGCAGCCACTCGTTCTAATGAGGAGAGCTGGCCCATCGTGTGAAGGCTTTCTGACTGAAAGCATGGCTTTTTAATTACTAACTTGCGAGTCAGCCTAGAGTCTGATAAAACCAAGCTGTAGGCAGAAAAGGATTTGTTTTTAATGGCACAAAGCAAGCTGTGCGTTCACTGAGTACCAGCTATGTGTCCTAAAGGTCACCAAACGTGTCACCTCTCTGTGACAACGTGCCCACCCCCACAGGCACAACAGCTTGGTTCTTCCTGAACCCAGGAATCTCTCCTGCCTCTCATAAGGTACTCTATTTATTATAATTAATTAGACTTATTCATTTCTCTCTCCGGCTAAACCATGCACTTCACAAGGTCTGGGACTATGTCTTATTCTATTTGAAAAGCTAAGCCCAAAGCTTGACACACAGCAGGTATTCAAAAAAAATGGAATCCGGACTGTTTGTTAACATCACGCCATTTTAGGAGCTAGGGATTTACTGTGGGAAGTCCAACTACGTGACTCCATCCCCTTGTATAACCAGTGATGTAACAACTCCCCAGTTTAAGTCCATCGACCTGGCTACTCAGGCATTCAGGCAGATTTCAGGTCATAGTCACGAGAGCCACCAATGGAGAGCTCTGGAATTCCCACATTTATTGAGTGTGAAGTCATTTTCCTTTGCTTCTTTGTAGAAGCTAGAGATTGGCCATTTAGACTAAGGCCTCTGCCTTCGACCCTGGTGGTCAGTGGCCTGTGATCAGACTGGCCAGTGACAGGTCAGACACAGAACAGCTTCCCAGCCATGAAGCTGAGCTCCCCGTGTGCCCCAGCCCCACACCTGGTACGCGTGGTCAGCCTGAATGTGCCAGAAGGAGCCAGGAGCTGACTTGCTGAGAGCACCAGAGGGCAGGTAAGACTCCAGGCCAGGGTGTTCTGGGCCTGAGGACTGGGTTTTTGCAGGAGGTGGTGGAAGGAGTGCGAGGGGCGGGCTGGTCATGCCAGGGGTGGGAGCTGGGTCGGCTGTGGTGGCACCAGCAGCAGCAGCTTCCTCCTTCATCTGCACCTCTGTGTAGTAGAAATCCTCCTCCCGCTTGAACTGGTCTGAGTCCACGGTGTCTCTGTGAGGGAGGGAGACATGGGGATGGTCACTTCAGACACAGCAGCCCAAGAGGAAGGAATGCTTGCTCAGGCAAACCCAACCAAGTCAGGGAAGGAGCCCCACTGCTGATGCGACATCCCAGAGGAGTGCGCCCTGTTCTTCCTGACACATAAGGCTCCCCCTCTCACAGAACGCGTAGACACTTCTCGTCCTGCAACACTCAGTCATCTGGCTCTGCCACGGGGCCTCTCTGGGTCCCTGGGCCCTGCATGTGGTCACACTCTGTCCTCAAGGGAAGCGCTACGGGTCTGTTTCTGCTGCCATGAGCAGGCCAGGCTCCTGGAAGTCAGAGCTAAGGGAACCCCGGCTCCCTGGCGGGAAGCAGTTGTGGAGGCCACAGTGAACTCTCACCAAATTACCTAGTCTCTACCCAGACCTAAAACTGCCTGCTTCCTAAGGTGAGGCAGGAAGACACGTGCACAAGATGGACAGAGCTCCCTCCCCAGAAGAGCATCACCATTCACCATGAGAAGAGGGCCCTTCCTTCTCAGCAAAGATCTCTTTCCACCAGGCTATTCTGCCAGACAGAAGGGTGAGGGACAGGCATCAGGTGCTGTTCTCAGCAATGGTCTTGGAACCGCTATTGGCTGTGGGTCACAGGGAACCAGAAAGGCAGAGGAATGCCTGAGTGCGTCCCCAAGCAAGCAGGACGACACCTACCCCAGGTGGAGGGCCTTGACATGTCGTTTGATGCCCACAATCGAGCGCAGAACTTTGCCACAGTTTGGCCACAGGCACTTGTACATCACCTTCACGGAGTTCTAGGAGAAAGGGAGATGGGAGTGTCAGGAGAGGCCCCTCATCCTCACCCGTGGGGATGTCGGCCACCCTCAAACAGAACCCAGCAAAAGGCTCTAGGGAAGGGATTCTTTGGTACCAGAGACCGGACAGGAAGAGGCAGAGAGCCAGGAGCCAGGAGGAGACGGTCCTGGGGTCAGCAGCAGCACTGAGTCTGGAGGGTGGGGGGGGTGGCGGTAAGACCCCCACTAGTGGCCCCGGCACACAAGTCCTGTAGGAGGGCCAGGTACAAGGCAGGGATCACAGCAGGGGTGAGAAGGGGTAGGTGCGAAAGAGGAGGAGTGTGCCCCTGCGGGCATCACAAGGGAACACAGAAGCAAAGGGAAATGAAAAGGGGCCTGCACCTGAGACCGGAGGACCTGTGGGGCCCCGCCCCTCCACAGCTGGCCCCCAGCTGTGGTCCGCCCCATGCCCCACCACATACCTTTCTTTTGCGTGGAGCCGGTTCATCCAACAGGAAAGCATCCGGGTCGGTCTCAAACCCATTATCAGTCTGGGGAGAACCAAAGGCATCCCCCAAATACTTGGGGCTTGCCTGGGGGTGGGGAGGCGAGGGAGTAGAAATGCCACTGCCAGCACTCCAGTGCCCACTGGTGGTGCTGCTGCCGCTGTCAGACACGTCACCGCTCTCCTTCCACGGATCACCAGCAGCTCGCGCAGCTGACCAGAGAGAAGACAGACAGTGGTCACTCGTGATGCCCGGGCCGGGCCTCTGGCCCAGTTCTGTCTATGCCAGATTCCAACCAATAGCCCCCGTCGGAGACCATGAAATTCGAGTCTGGAGTCTGGGTTCCTGAATCCAGTTCCAGGCTCTGGCTCTGCCACTCCATGGGGGACAGAGGGGATCCCCCAAGACCTCTCTTTTCTGAGCTTCCATGAAGTTGCCCTGCTCTGTTGCTAGTGGCCATTTCCTACCATAGCCACACTGGTAATTAACCAACAGACACACAGCAACTTTGTTTTACAGATTATTAATAGAAAGACCTAATTAAAATGTATCTCTCACTCTGTATGTAAAAAAAAAAAAAAAAAAAAAAAGACAAACCAAGCAGGGGAGGAGCAGGAGCTGGGGTGTGGGGAGGGAAAAGCCCTCCTGCACTGGGGCCTAGAAGGGTAGGTGAGAACTTGCACAGACGAGTGTCCCTCATCTCCCTGGGGACCCTTTCCCAGCAGCAGAGTCAGATGGAAAGGCCGACCTGAGGGATCCTTGGCCAGGCTTTCTTGAAAAACACCTTTTGATTATGAAAACCCAGGCAAGGACATCAAAACCTGCATGTGGAAGACAATCCTACCAGATCTTAGAGCCACAGGAAGTGCGACATTTACCAAAGGTGGCCACAGCTCTGTGACTCCCGTGCTCACCGGTAAATCCCACAGCTGGAGAAGGGAAAACCAACTCTGAGAGTAACTCAGAATGATCACAGCTCACGGGGAGGATCTTCCAGCCCATACGACCCTGCATCTGCCAACCTGCTCCCAGCATTGAGTCTGCATAGGGACACAGGCGAAATTCTCAGCCTCCACATGGCCTGTCCCCAGGCTGCTTTAGGCCCAACCCAGACTCTCCCTGCCGAGGCCATAAATCCGGATTGATAGGACAGGAGAATCTGAAATGCTAATACATAGAAATCACAAGAGAAGCAGGGGAAAGGCTGTGACATGTGTAGGTACACAGGCCACGTCCCCCAAAGCCCCAGCTGCCAACACGGGCAGGTGTCCTACAGAGCTGCCCAACCTTGGGTTCTGAGATCGACTACCACATCCCCTGGGGCCAGGTCAAAAATCCTACTGCTTTTCTCTCATCCTGCTCCAGATTCCCGAAGGCTTCTAGGCTCATCCAGACATCTGAAATAGACTCTCAGCATTACATGTTTCCAACACAGGCTCTCCTCCATGTGAGAAGCCCACCCAAACAGAATGGGAGGAGGAACTCTTCCTTCCCGAAGTATCGCTGTTAAGTCTCAAAGCTAGGACTTCTTAACCCCCAGTTTCAACACATACACGTAAGGGCTTAACACAGGGTAGACCTTCCGGGCGCCTGGGTGGCAGTCCGTTAAGTGTCTGACTCTCGGTTTCGGCTCAGGTCATGATCTCAGGTTTCAGGGATCAAGCCCCACATCGGGCTACAGGCTCAACAGGGAGTCTGCCTGAGATTCTCTGTCTCCCTCTTCCTCAGCCCCTCCCCACCCCCGAGCTGACTCTCTTTCTCGCTCTCTAAAATAAGTAAGTAAATCGTAAGGGAAAGGAAAAAAAAAAAAACAGGGTAGCCCTCTGGGGAAGAATTCCGGAGCCACCAACAGGCCAATGGGTCCAGGGCCCACACATGTCTACTCAGGAAACCTACGAGGGAAAGAAGGGTCAGGGAGCAGAATGCTGCGTTAGGTGAGATCAGAGCTCTAGCGAGAAAGGGTAGGTCCAACAGCAGCCAACCACACAATACAGCTGCCTTCCACAGAGGAACCGTTCAAATGGCTCCAATGCTGAAAACTGGCCAACTGACTTACAGAGGAAGAAAAACAGAAAACAAAACATTTAATATCATAAACTGATCTGTAAGTTATAAGACAAACAGAAATGACTCTTCCGTAGATCAGTAAGATCTTCTAGGGCAAGGTTAACAGAATATCCCATCCCGTGAAAACAAAGTGCTCTGCCGCAAATGCATAGCGATGAGGCTTTACAGTGAAATCTGTGAGAGCGCGTTGTCATTTCCTTGGTTCTTCTCACACACACACACACACACAAACACACAGCCCTAATACAGACAACAGAGAAAACAGGTGGTTTCTGCGCCAACAGTACCCGTGACCGCAGCAAGGTACAGACCTCACCTTGCAGAAGACGCCAGTATCGTTAGCCGCCAAGAAAGCCTTACTTTCTCCGCTAACTTCGACCACAGGATCCAAAATATACTGTCATGGAAAAAAATCTTTAACAGACGATTAAAAATGCTGGTCGAACAGGGACCTAAGAAATCAGGATCCGGCGTATCATCCGTCAGGGGTGCGTATGTTGGCGTCCGACTGTGTGTGATCACGTATGTTTATGTACGATACATACAGATACACGCACAGACCCTGATGGGACCTGGAGTCACTGATTTTCTTTCCCTTTATGACACTTTCTGACCTTCCTGCAGTTGACAAACCTCCTGGATCTCCTAAGCTTGTAAATTTCCTGAACATGTAAAATTGACTCCTTCCCTCCGCATTCTGCTTGTGCAGCCCCCAAGCACTAACGGAGCAGGTGTGCAATGCTGACTTGCGCCACTCGGGCTGGCTGATGGCCACAACTCACTCTGGCAGCCTCAGCACTGACCACAGGCTCTGGGTGAAGAAGAGTAAGCCTGCCTCGTTGCTCCTTTAAATTTACCTTCATCCATGGCATTTCCTTATGAGGGACACCTGCAAAGGCCACTTTCCTCCTGGCATGTGCTCTGAGCAAACACGAATGTTCCCCTAAGCTTCTAAGCAGCTCGCAATTCAGTTAGATGTCCCCATTGGAGACAAAGTTATTCCCTGGGAGTAAGTTAGGCCAGCCCTATAATGAATTTCGAAAAGAACTTCAGGTTCACTACCAGTCTTGTCAAACGACTAGCATCCAGCAACCCTTCTTCCTCCCGTGTTACCGATAGTGTATTTTAGGCATCAAGGCAGAAGGTTTTCTTTTAATTGAGAAATTTGCTGTGAAGTCGTACTATTGCTTTGCATTAAGCAATTCGATTCGTTCGACTTCAGCTCGTGCATTCCGGGTCCTTGGCCTATAGGCCCGCACTGATTTACAAGGCTGAAGTAGGCACTTGGAACAGGGGCGTGAATCTTCTGAGGCCACTAGGGGACCATTTGGTAAGCTTCCCCTTCGTGAACTAAATATTCCTCAACTGGCCTGTTCAGGCCCCCACCAAAGTGCCTCGCTCACTTACTCCCATAGAAGAACTTACTCGAGCGGCCAGTGTGGCTCAGCCTCGGGCTCAATCATCTTCACAATGCACCAGGAAACTCCTCCCCAGCTGAGGAAGCTGAAGAAAAAGAATGGAAGCAGCTAACTCAATGTCACTCAGCCAGTCTGAGAAGCCAGTGAGGAGACACCCCGGCAATCCTACTGCCAGGCAATGGGCTGATCCAAGCAGAGGCAGCGAGGGGCGGGCTTGCGCCACACCCAGTAGCCGCCACGGGGCCCCCCTTCCTCACCTGAGAAGTTGGCCTCAGCCCCGGGAGGGCTCTGCACGACGGGGCTGCAGGACAGGGACGTCAGCACCATGGCCGCCATCATCTCATCCATTTCCACCGCGTCTGACTTCCTGGATTCAAGTGAGTGAGTGCCAAAGGTTACTTCCTGACACAGCGGGGCGCGTGATGGGTTCACACTTCTGGACTGTCCCCTCCATGCCCCCACTCCAATCAGCCAGTGTGCGTGCTAAATAAAGCATGAAGGTCTCTCCTCATTCTTCATGAAAAATACCCATGCAGAATTGCGTATCTACAGTCAGTCAACCCCGGTGCAAGCAGGTCGGTCCCAGGCCACTGTGGACACCGGGAAGTGTCTGCATTCTGCATTCTCCCCTAAATTCATGTCAGACCTCTCACTGGGACTTAAAGTTGGGAACTTTATTTAGGGGAAAAAAGAGGGGACACCATAAAATCAACCATGGGCATAAAAGATGCCTGCTGGAATTCAAAAGCACCAAAACTACCTTCCTTTCCCTATCTTCTATTTAAATTAAAGAGGGAGCAATAACCAGTTCCTTTCCCCTCCCCTGAGAAAAATGATGACGTATTCTGACAGCTTCTGAACCTAGTACACAAGCCAATGAACAAGTACACAGGAAACACTAAAATAAATCTCCTGGTGCAAATCTCAATGCTTTTGCCAGTGGAGTTCTGTAAAATTCTACATACAATTTTTTTAAAATCCATATAAAGTTACACTATGTGGGTAAACTCAGAGTTGTCTATAGGTTACTGCTGAAGTATGAAAAGTTACTCTGAAATAAATTTCTAGGTGGCTCAACTATTTCAAAGGATTGTATGAATTCCTTCTTGACTGTTGAGATCCACTGAAATATGCGACTGGGTCTGAAGCAGTTAAACCAGGACTAGTAATAGATTAAACAAATTAGTGTCCCCTTTTTGTGTGATCTCTGAATATTTATTTCCATAGAAGAAGAGCAAAACAATTTCTTTGTCAGCTGAATTCACAATCAACAACTACTGCTCTGGTCTGGTCTGAGGACCCGGATGTATGGTATCAGCAGTAGCCACAGACAAACACAGAAGGAGGGGTGGAATGGGGACCTAACTGCTTGCACAACCTCTAGAGAAGGCAATCTCCACTGGCAGATTTTCCTTCTTGGTCTTAGAAGATCAATGTACACTTGAGTACCTAATACAGAATAGTCTCAGGGAAAACTGTATCATACAATTCTAAAGTAATATATACATTCTTCACTCATCAATGGTTTTGAATATCTAAGCCAGGGGTCAGCAATCTGTGGGCTGTGGGCCAAATGCTCCACTGCCTGTTTTTATGTGGCTCGCAAGCGAAGAATGACACAATTTTTATATAGTTTTAAAAATCAAAAGAATTCTCTTGATGTGTGACACATGGAAATTACATAAAATGACACTCTGAGTGTCCATCAAGTGACGCTTTATTGGGGCATGACCATGCCTCATGTTTACATATCACCTATGGCTGCACTGACACGGCCACAGCAGAGCAGGCGGGACCAAGACTATTTAGCTCATAAAGCAACATGATTTTCTGCCTGGCCCACTCAGAACAAGTCTGCAGACTCCTGACCGAAGCCATTTTTTCCTGTCTTTCATCATGTAAAACTACTAACTTTAAGGATGAAAGGGAGCCATAAAAGCCCTTAGCCACAACCAAAGATGTACCACCCATACTAGAGTTACAGAAGAAAAGATGCTGTTCTGGGGTTGTTGTTTTTTAAAGGATGCCCCCCTCTCTGTATCCCATTTGTCCAGTATCTTGACAACTAGACACCCAGGGCTTTCACATTCCTTCTCCATCACAAGCGAGCCCACAACCCCATACCCCACCACCCATGTACCTTTCGGAGCCCAGAGCCCAGGTGCTCCCACACAAACCTCTTTGGGACATCAATGTTTCTGGAGACAGGCCTGTAGGCTGGTACTGGGGTTCCCGGCTCCAGAGGAGGTGCCTGGGGCACAGAGCCCTGGGCCTCGGCCAGCCACACCTCCTCTGCCTTACAGCAGATTTGTAGCTTCTGATCCGAAAGCCAGACCGTCACCTTATCCTCTGCCCAACTATGCTGCTCCACCAGTCCTGTGCACTCTTGACCCCCATACCACACATAAACCTGCAGGGGAGAAAAAGAGCAACCGGCAGTCAGTATACAGTGGTTCTGCCTCCGCTCGACCCCAGTGCTAAGAGCCAGGATCCACCTGCTACAGACTATGTCTCTGACTCATTTTTAATGCAAGCAGCTGTTCCCAGGTGCCTACTTCCCATCTGAGCACCCAAATGAGCCACAGTGATCAGTTTCTCCCCAAAAGGATCCTTATATAAACTCTCTAGAGAGAACAAACATGCCAGTTTCTGGACTTTTCTCTGATCTTGGAATATGTTTACAATTAAAGTTAAGATATTAACATCTTGAAATAGACTCTCACAATCATAAGATGTTTTCTGTAAGCTCCATGGTAACCAGAGAGAAAAAACCTCTAGTAGATACACAAAAGAGAAAGAGAAAAGAATCAAAGCACAGACTACAAAAAAAACAAACAAAATCAACAACTCACAAGGGAAGACAGCAAGAAAGGAAGAAAGAACAATGGAACTACAAAACAATCAGAGAACAAATAACAAAAGAGGAAGTCCTTACCTACTGATAATTACTTTAAATGTAAATGAATTAAATTCTTAACCAAATGAACTTTTGGAATATGTATCCATCCTCCTGATGACTTGCTCTGGCTTGCCCTTGAAGTCCTATGGATCTGCTGCCTGTATGTTTCCCCAACTATGACCTTGAACTGATCAACCCTGCATTTTTCCCTTCAAAGAATTCTAAGTCTACCTGAGGACAAGTTGGTAGGGGTGGAGAAGTGGGCCAACCACACTCTCAAGGATGCCTAGCAGTTGGCAGGTCACCTTCTATCATGGGAAGAGAGCCCTGGACAACACAAGCATCAGCAGGAGAGAGAAGGTAGAGTCTCTATTTCTGGGCCCTTGAGAAGGCAATGCACTTGGACCTAGTGATTACATCAGGTACAGGGGATGACTGGGCCCTGCCACAAGGAGAGCGACCACCGGAAAAGGAAACACAAACATCGTTCTGACTAAACACATTTGCCTCTTGAAAATGTCTAAAGGGAATTCAAAGATGCAATATTATCTGTCTCTTACAAGCCTAAGATTCTTGTTTTGTCAAGCTGGAAATGGAGGGAGACTGAGAAACAGAGCCCTTGCTGTGCTCTGAATTGAGGCTTTGAGTAGGCCTAACTCCAAAATAACAGATGCCGGACAGCACTGTCATGGAGGAGCCCTGGGTCTACTAATGATGGCCCATTCTGGGGCACCTGGGTGGCTCAGTGGGTTAAAGCCTCTGCCTTCGGCTCAGGTCATGATTCCAAGGTCCTGGGATCGAGCCCTACATCAGGCTCTCTGCTCAGCAGGGAGCCTGCTTCCTCCTCTCTCTCTCTCTCTCTCTCGCTCTCTCGCTCTCTCGCTCTCTCTCTCTCTGCCAGCCTCTCTGCCTACTTGTGGTCTCTGCCTGTCAAATAAATAAATAAAATATTTAAAAAAAAAAAAAATGATGGCTCATTCTCTAGGGAAGCCTACTGCCCAGGGGCCCACAGGGCTGCAAGTAAAATGTCTGTGCACAAACTGGTGCCTGGGAGTTTCTGGTCTGCCACTCAGGGCACTGCTGGCAGCCCCAAGAAGATCACACACCTGTCCACCTGGGGGTTCAACCTACCTTCTGCCCAGGCTGAAAGGCCACTTGCTGGAGGCCTGAGGTGCTGAGAGCCTTGAGGATTTCCTTGGGCTGCTCCTGGCAGGAAGTGTCCTTGGAGGCCAGGAAGGGCTGGGGAGCCGCCCCTTCCAGCAGCTCAGTCTGAGGCTCTGAGGGTGGGGCAGCCCCGGGGGGCCCCAACACGCGGGCTCCCAGGAGAGAACGCTTCCCAAGGCGCCGGGACAGCATGCTGGCCATTCTGCTGCCTTTCCTGGGGAGGCAAAGGAGACAGAGGGTCCTTTATTCATTATCTGGAGGAATCGGTAAGCTCTCCGTATAACCCCTTGCATGCAGCAGGCATCTGCAGGCATCTGTTAAAGTAAATGAAACAGTTTAAAGTAGCTTCTACAGTTCCTTTTCTTTTTACACAAGTAACAGCCATTCCCAGTAGGACATTTAGAAAATACTAATAAGCACAAAGAAAAACAAATTACTCAAGATGCCACCTCCCAGAGATCCCCGATCTTCCTACGGAACGTTCCACGCCTTCTTCAATATATACATTTACATTCTTCTATTTCTACAAAAAGGGGATCATGGTTAGGTAAACTGAATTCTCACTAAAAAGCTTCTGTAGGTTTTACCCTATCACTGAACGTTATTCAATAAAAACAACAAAAACAAAACCACACCGTATTTTCTTAAGCAGGTGCATCACTGCTAACTTAACAAACCCTTTACTGTCCCTGAGGGCTGGGTCCCCTGTGCTGCTGTCTCATCTGCTCTGCCTTCAGGGAGCATCGTCTGAGCTCAACCTCTGCACACACACACCAAAGATGCTTCCTTAGGTCAGGTTCCTATATATGGCATCGCTAAGTCAGAGCACAAGGACATCTGTCAGAGACTTGCAGACTCTCCAGCTTAGCTGGCTTCAAAGTTGCAAAGAGCCACAGAAATGAGACGCTAACTAACTCTCCTCTCCTCCTTTTACACTTGAAGAAACTAACGCCGAGAGCTTAAGAGAGTTGTTCGCAGCAAGAAAAGTGGTTGGTGCTACAGCCTGAAGGAGATCTGGTTTCCCGACTCCAATCTGGCTCTCCTCACTGAATCAGAGTGGCCTGAAGACTCTCTCCAACAGCACCTGGCGTCAGGCTACTAATGCACTAAGGGGTGACGGAACCGCAGGACCACAGCCCAGATCCAGACCGAGGAAGACTATTCCAGGCCTTGGCGGGTTCATCCCACGATACACAGGAGCTGTTGTGAAAAACAGTACGTGTCATTTCAGGATACTCTGAGGCAACCCTGTACCCCCAATTATCATACTGCAGAAAGCGGGGAACTGGGTAGCACTTGCCTTCCACACTCTAGAGAGGGAAAAGCTAGGAAGGAGATTGAAATGATGTTTCATTAGCCAACACCCTCCTGCCTGAGAGGAGGGGTTCTAAACACCCTGGCACTCAGTAAGCCCCAGGGCTGGGTGGGACCCTCAGGAGTTCTTTGGGCTGGCCACTCCTTGACCTTGATGCATCTACACCATTCCAAAAAACAAGAACTCTAGCTTCCAGATCCCTCAGTGATCTGTATCAGTCAACAAGCTGACTCGAGAAATCCTTCCCCTGACCTGCAGCCTCCCTGCTAAGTAAGATGCAGGGAAAACACAGAGCTGCCCTCAGGCCACCTAGGCAGGACCCACTCGGAGCCTGTGGGTCCTCACCTACGAGTCACAACACTAATGTTCCCCTCACCAGCACCTTGGAGGAGCACAGGAGAACACTGCTGTACAAGCTCTTTACAACCTGCCAAGTGGGACAGAAATACAAAGTAATGTTATTAGAACAAAGGCCACTCTAGTTCCAGATTCAGGGAAATGAACATTTTGTTTTTGTTTTTTAAAGATTTTATTTATTTGACAGAGATCACAAGTAGGTAGAGAGGCAGGCTGGGTGGGGGGGAAGCAGGCTCCCCGATGAACAGAGAGCCCGAAGCAGGGCTCCATCCCAGGACCCTGAGATTGTGACCTGAGCCGAAGGCAGAGTACACTGAGCCACCCAGGTGCCCTGAAATGAACATTGTGGACATAGACTTCCACATAATTCTATAAGAGACTTAATTTTCGTATTCTTTCTTTTTAAGATTTTATTTATTTACTTGACAGAAATCACAAGTAGGCAGAGAGGCAGGCAGAGAGAGAGGAGGAAGCAGGCTCCCTGCTGAGCAGAGAGCCCAATGCAGGGCTCGATCCCAGGACCCTGGGATCATGACCTGAGCCAAAGGCAGAGGCTTTAACCCACTGAGCCACCCAGGTGCCCCTAACTTTCATATTCTTAAAAAGATGACAAATGGTCCCGTTTTTTTCCCACTGGGGGTAACAAGTCCTAACTCCCAGGTCATCTGGACAGCTCATCTCCAAACACCTCTTGTATCTACATAAGACATTACTTTCACAGCTAATGCGGACAAGCACTTCGGGCTTCGCACTGAGCACAGGGTCTGCTTCGATTCTCTCCCTCCCTCTGTCCCTTCCCCTACTCATGCTCTAAATAAATAAGTTAAATCTTTAATGTAAATATTGAGGAAAAATGTTTGGCTCGTTTTTAGAAATATATTTTATTCCAAGCTTCAGAGAGCATGGTATCAGAATCAGATGGAATCAGATAGCATGGTATTGTCGCCATGATTTCCCAGAAAGCAAAGAACAGATAAGAAAAGGCTAGAGTCACCAGCATCCTATACAGTTCCTATTTAGCTGTCTGGTGACTTCACATCCAGAACACTATTGGGAAGCTTTAACACACAAAAGGAAGAAAAATTTAAGGAGTAAATTCTTTACCACTTAAAAAAAAAAAAAAGATATATCTAAGCTAACTCAGTTTCAGAGAGCAGTCACCCACCTTCATCCTTGGAGCCTCAAGCCAGAAACAAGAACCTGTCACTTTCTGGTTAATTTCAGAGGGCTCCTAAAAGCTAGAGGTGAAACTGCAATGCCACTTGAAGACATCAGATGGCAGCACCCATTCGAGAAGGAAAAAAAAAAAAAAATAGCCAACCCTTTCCTTAACCAAAAAAAAAAAAAAAAATACAGTGGCCACCCCCCACTTTCCACAGCAGGAAGTTTGAGGTTTCTACCACTCAAAATGAATAAAGGATAGTATTTCCAAAATTTCTGGGCTTCCAGTCTTCAGATGGGGACTGAAATATTTGGCTAACAGACTCTGACGATGTTTTTCTAAGCCTTTTTCTTTTTAAATTTAAATACTTTTCCCTTGGTTTGTGAACCCTTTGCTGGATCTGTGCAAACTGGTGAACTCCCAGCTCATCCTCACGTGCATTTGCTTGCATTCCCTGGCCTTTCTCCTTTAACTGGCCCAATTCCACTGAAATGCATTTTATTATTTGATTTATTTATAGGATGCCCACATCTTAATTTTTAAAAGCAGAAGAGAAAAACGGAAGGGAAACTGCCTTTTTTAAGTACTAACTTTCACAGACTGTACTTAATTAAATCCTCAGAAATGACTTGATAGCAACAACAGTCTTCTATTTCTGATGAGGAAACTGAGCGCCAGGGAGGTTAGCTTGGGGAGGCTACACAAATAGGAACCAGTGCTCTGGGTGGGGTATTTCTAGTACGTGTGGGATCTCTTAAAATACAAGTCAACTAAGCTGCTTTTTACCTACACAGTATTTTTTTTCCTATGTCAATGAACTTCAATAGAAAAAAAATTAGCTCCATTCCTACAAGTCTCTCTTTTCCATTTCTTTGTGCACTTTCTTTCCTTGAAAATCTCTTCTCCACTTAGCCTCTGACCTACAAAATAAAGGTCAATGCTTTAGCGTGACCCTGTTAAACAGTCCAAGCCCCTGTTAATCATTTAGTGGTTCAGGAAGACCTTTACACATGTACTGCCTCTCGGAGGGCACAAAGAGATAACATGACTAGCCCAAAAGTTAAGGAACATTTTAGCTGAGTTTATACTGGGGAGGGACAGCATGGATGTGAAGAATACAAATCTAGACTAAATACAGACCGGGCAGCATCGCCAGGGGTGAACCGATGCCTCTCTTGGGTTCATCGTTATTCTCATTATTTTATGGACATGGCTTTATGCACACCATAATCAACACAGTCCCTCAGGGATTCAGAAATTACCTGTAGCACCTACAGGGGTTTGTCACACAGGTGAGTGAGGGGACCAGGGTAGCTCTGGATCTACACTGACCTGCCAGGATCACTTGTGAATTTCTATCTCCAGGGAAATGGATCTCACCTTCCCTCCCAGCACACTTCTATCCGTTTAACTACAGCCTCCTTCAAACCCCTCTTTCCTCATCTCTACTTCTATTCACTCCTTTTGGTTTTTTTCTAGGGAGCAATCAGTCCATATAAACAGCCATGCCCTAATTTGCTATAGGATTCTAATGTAGCAGAGAAAACCCAAGAAACCACTATTTCAGGGTAACAGTAACAGTGTTTCAACACATACCCCAATCCCACTTTATGAAATTAGTGATGGAATTCCTTGATGGAAGCATAAACCTATGCTAAAAACGCCTTCCCAGCTGACGGACAGTTTTTTTTTTTTTTAAAGATTTTATTTATTTATTTGACAGACAGAGAGAGATCACAGTAGGCAGAGAGGCAGGCAGAGAGAGATTGGAGGAAGCAGGCTCCCCGCTGAGCAGAGAGCCCGAAGCAGAGCTCGATCCCAGGACCCCAGGATCATGACCTGAGCCGAAGGCAGAGGCTTAACCCACTGAGCCACCCAGGCGCCCCTGATGGACAGTTTTAAAGGGATCCTGAGCCTTCCTGTGCTTCTCATCCCTGTTGCTGTCATTAATACACGGGGGGTTGCCCTTGTATTTTGGTCAATGTCCAAAAGGGGTTAACCTCAGCAAAACACTTCTGATGTACTAATAGCCCTGAGGACATCTGCCATCAGTTAAATGACTGGAACAGACAGAATAGGAAAACAACCCCTTTCTGTGGTTCTGAGTTGCAAATTGCTATCTGACATGTGACTGTTGCTGGACAACCACCTGTCTCAGCACGTGTGTGTGTGTGTGTGTGTGTACACGTGCTCATGCACAATGGCTGCTCTCTCCTCCTACCCAAGGACACTGCAGCAAGCCAGGCATCAACTAGCTGCACTTCCGGGAGGCAGGTCATAAGTCAAGGTGATTCAACACACACCTAATGAGGTTTCTTGGGGGGTGCTGTTGTTGCTGAAGGAGAATGAAGCTTGGAATAAGACTCCCATTTGTTAAATC